CAGCAGCAGCAGCAGTGATGGAATCAAATTAAATCAAACAGAAGGTTCATACGATTCGGCTTGTTGCTGCAGCAGCAGCAGCAGCAGCAGCACTGCAGCAGCAGAGCTGCAGCAGCAGAGCTGCAGCAGCAGAGCTGCTGCAGTCACTGTGCAGCGAAGGCGGCTCTGCTGCTGCTGCTGCTGCTGCTGCTGCTTGAGCTGCAACAGCAACCCTAGCTGTTGTTGCTGCTGTAGCTGCTTGCAGGGGTAGCAGCAGCAGCAACAGCATCTGCTGCTGCTGCTGCTGCTGCTGCTGCTGCTGCTGCTTCTACAAGTATCTCTGTTGAGCATGCTCCTGTGCAGCAGCAGCAGCAGATATACGTGTCACTGTTGCTGCTGCTGCTGCTGCTGCTGCTTCTGCTGCTGCTGCTGCAGGACTCCTGCAACGCAGGCACGTTTTCCTTTCGTTTTTTCTTCTGCTGCAGCTACCACTGCTACTGCTTCTGCTGCTGCTGCTGCTGCTCCTGCTGCTGCTCCTCCCCCTCCTGCTCCTGCTGCTGCTTCTGCTGCTGCTGCTGCTGCTGCTGCTGCAGCTCTAGAAACCACTGGGGTTCCTTAAGCCACTTCGGTTTGTTTATGTGGTAGCTACTGCTTCTGCTGCTGCTGCTTCTGCTGCTTCTGCCGCTGCTGCTGCTCCTCCCCCTCCCCCCCCTCCTGCTGCTGCTGCTGCTGCTGCTGCTGCTGCTGCTGCAGCTCTAGAAACCACTGGGGTTCTTTGAGCCATTTGGGTTTGTTTACGATTGCGGGGAGAGGCAGCATAGCTGGGGGGGTTATATGCTGCAGCTGTCTGTACACCTCATCGTTGCATCTGTGTAGTTCTTTTATTAAATTAAAACAAAACATATCTTCTTCTTCTTCTGCTGCTGCTGCTGCTGCTGCTGCTGCTGGTGGTTGTGCTGCTGCTGCTGCTTGCGGTGGTTCTATAGATGGGTCTATTGCTGGTGCTGCTGCTGCTGCATCTGTTGCTGCTGCTGCTGCTTGTGTTGCTGCTGCTGCAGCAGCAGCAGAGGTGTTGAGGTGCAGCAGCAGCAGCTCGTCGCTGCTGCACTGCTGCCTATATAGCTTCGCAGCATCGAAGCAAATCCAGCCCCGTGTCTCTGCGTCTGTCTGCTGCATGTGCTGCTGCCAGAGCTTGCTGCTGCGGCTCCTGCTGCTGCTCTGCTGCAGCAGCAACCCCACCACTAAAACACCATTAAACACAAACGAGCCGTATATTAGTTTGTGGCTCAGAGGCAAACAACCCCATACAACACGAAAACCACGCAGCTGCTGCAGCAAACCCATATCCTGCTGCTGCTGCTGCTGCTGCTGTTGCTGCTGCTGTTGCTGCTGCTGCTGTTGCTGCTCTTGCAGCTGATGTTCAGGCTGCTCTTGCTGCTCCTGGAGTTGGTCTTGCTGTTGCTGCTGTTGCTGCTGCGGTTGTTGTTGTTACTGTTGCTGCTGCTGCTGTTGCTGCTGCTGCTGTTGCTGCTGCTGCTGCTGCTGTTGCTGCTGCTGCTCAGTCCGGTAACCTGGCTGCTGCTGCTGCTGCTCACAAGTGCGGGGCACTGCAGCAGCAGCAGCAGCAGCTGCTGCTGCTGCTGTTCACTAGCCGGGCCCCCTCACAGAGTCCGAGGCTTCTTAGTTGCTGCTGCTGCAGTTGCTGCTGCTGTTGTTGCTGCTGCTGCTGCGGTGTATGCTGCTGCTGGTTGCGTGCTACTGCTGCTGCTGCTGCTGCTGCTTGGGTGCCTCTATAGGCCACCAGGAGCAGCAGCAGCGGTGAATGCTAAACTATTAAAACCGCAGCAGCAACTGCAGCAGCAACTGCAGCAGCAGCAGCAGCAGCAGCAGCAGCAGCACGTGAAGGTTTACTTAGTATAAATAAAAAATAAAAAAATAATATTTTACATTATATGCCTCCGCAAAATAACTAATAGAAGAGAGGAGATATATATAAGATGTCTTCTGCTGCTGCTGCTGCTGTTACTCACAGCAGCAGCAGCAGCAGCAGCAGCAGCAGCAGCATGCAGCAGCAGCGGCTGCTGCTGCGGCTGATGCCGCAGCTGCTGCGGCTGCAGCTGCTGCAGCCACTTCTGCTGCAGCAGCACGAAGCTGTCTAACAAATATTTTATCTTTTATTTAGCTTGCATGCGCAGATACACAGCAGCTGCTGCTGCGTCTGTCTCGCCGTATCTGCCACTGCAGCAGCAGCAGCAGCAGCAGCGGCAGCTGCAGCAGCAGCTGCAGCAGCTGCAGCAGCAGCAGCAACCACTTCTGTTGGGTTCGCTGCAGTGTCTGTTTGTCCTTTGTTGCTGAGTTGGTCGTTTTATATATTTTA